CAAATATGAGAAAACGCAGGTTTGATTTCGACAGCGTATGCCGCGAATGATGCACAATTGCGCAGCTGCATGCTCCTCAAAACAAACAGCAGACCGAGCTTCACACAGAAATCATAAATTCAATGTGCCGCGTAAAAGTGCCCGCCACCAAAGCTGGTCTTATGCACTTGATAGGTTCTTGATAACAGTTGATTAAGAATGATCAGGATAAGAATCAACAAAAATGCCAGTCTGACCAACAAACAATTTACGGAAGAAGAAAACAAAACAATCATATCAATGAAGATGTACGGTTCCAATGCGTTTTCACAAAGATCTTGGTCAATTTTACTCATCTCAAGAGAATAAAGAGCCACTGCAGGCACAGCTCCACAGGAATGACCTCTTAGCCCAGCGCACTCTCTGACATAAGATAGGTAGGCGGTCACCCCGTTATTTCAGCTATTGACATCAGATCTAGGCAAGCTTGAAAATTGTCTTGGAATAGAGCCCTCGTGCACGAATTAGAATGCTTCATGTGCACGTAAAGTGCCACACAGCTGTCTTTGCCTTGTAGTTCATTGTTCAGTGTGTTAGATGATCAGTAAGTCAAACTAAAGAATGCCCAGGTGCTGCAGACCCAATAAGCAGGTCGACTCCAGCTCCATGAATGATGTAGTCATATGTTTTTCAAAACGGTTGATTTTCTGATCTCAACAGAAATAAAAACTTGCTGTCAGCACAGCTCCCATGCATTTTATAGCCAGACACTTACTGAATGTGGTAGAAGTATGGTCCCCGTATTCAGCATTGACATCAGATAGGAAATGCGTTGAAAGCTTGAAATTGTCTGTGGTAGAGCCCCCGTGCACAAATTACGTTGACAGTTTTCACAACAGTGTTCATTACATCACCAGGCTGGACTGTCTTGGCACAGAGGGCTTCTTGGTGGATGATACAGTGCATTTTAACAGCCTCACCTCCACTCTCTTGCACCATCGAGGTCATTCCTTTGCGCTCGCCTGCCATTGCTGGAGCCCCATCCGTTGTAACTCCACATAGAGAAGCTGCCATGTTAAAGACAGTAGCTCCACCAAGCGTTAAAACTAAGAAGTACAATACAGTCAGGAGCAAGTTCAATGCGTGGGCCATATTCAGGCCATATTCATTATATTTTTTAGAATGTAAAAATAGACCACGGGCCGCAGTTGGCCCTCGGGCAACACCCCTGGTCCAGGGTATCTGTCACAGTTGGTGCTGTGACACTTGGGGGTGTTTCCTTTTTTTCCCCTGTGTTCTGTGTGTGGGTGTGTGGTGTGTTATGCCTGGCAGTGAGCTGATCACCTGGTGGAGTTGCACACCTGCTGGCAATCCTCATCAGCGCCTGGCCTTAAGATGTGGGGTTTCCTGAGACTCGTCGCCAGATTATTCCTTACCTTCCCATGGTTGAGTACTTCAGGCCTTTTTCAAATCTTACAAAATTAATGTTTTTAAAAGCACAGGTCTTGTGTTAAAGAGAAAACTTGTAAAACTGATTGAATGCTGATAATTAATTGTCAACCTTGTGTCCCTGTGGCCATTTCATAATATCCCACTGGAGGAGATGTTGTAGAATGATCTTGTCCTTTCAGTCCTAGGCTTTGGTAAATACAAACACACACATACACATATACAACTAAATGAACTCACAGCAACATTATAGATTGCCATGCCCACAGCTCGATGGTCATTGATTTTCTCTGTAGAGATGGACTTGGTTTCATAGGCCAGGAAGATGCCGAGAAGCAGCAGTAGGCCTTTATAACCGTACACCACACCTAAAAAGACAGACAAGATGGCAGCCGTGAGGATTTATGGAACTGTTTGTACTGCAGTACTTTAAGCCATACTATACAGGATTTTTCTAAAAAACAAAGATTAGACTCATACAAACATAATCCCTCTCAGTCATCACTTATGACCCACTAGCAGTGCATGTCAGTGTCTGTATCTGCAGGAGTCTATAAAAACGTGGCATCACTTAAGGAGAGCTGTCACTTCGTCCATCTTTATATGTCAATGGATTGGGTGAGGGCAGGCAGGATGAAGCTGTGCAATAGCTACATTCACACAGAGTCCAGAAATATGGCTCCTTTCCGCAGGGTTGCGCTTTAAAACGGAACTGCTATAAAACAATTTACTGCTTTGCTTTTGTCGTTGCGCCCTCTCCTCATTCATTTTCTATGTATCTCAAATAAAGGTGCTCTCTCAGGCTGGGTAGGAGGGGCCAACTTTGACTGGTGAGTTTACAAACATCCACAGATGTGGATGACATTTGTGTCAGTTCATGTTATGAAAATTAAAGACTTACCATGACTCAAGACTTGTTTGAGATGTATCAGAAACATTGACAAATTGTTCCTTATTTTTTGTTCCATTATTTTTCACTATAGTTGTTTTCATCATTTGGTAATTACCAGCGGCTAAACCAAATGGGTTTTTAATTAGGGTAAGAAGGATGTTTGGTTTTGATAAGATGGGCAGAAATTATAAAAAGCTTGAGAACTGCTAGTGCGGGTGGGTTTTGTTGGACAGACTGCTTATGTGCTGCTGTTTCTTAAAGATTTTTATCCGGCTGAAGTATGCAGAACCATTCGTATAGTGTAATGTAGAAATAGAGATGCAAAGAATTAGAGAATTGACAGGAACAGTGATGCAGGATTTGCTTGGTATTCCACTCACCTAGCCAGGTGTTCATCTTTTCTGAGCTGCAATGTTCCAGTAAAGGCTGAATCAAAACATCCAGGTCTCCTTTGGGGGCTTCTCTGGTGAATTTCTACAACATGAACACATGGTGAAAAACAGCAGCGCACTACCACTTCAACAGCAAGCATACAGAATCAAATCAATTAAAATTTAGGCAAAATACATTTACTCATATGATTCTATTTGTATACATTAATTCAATTCAATTCAATGTTAT